TTAAAAATTTGGTGTTTGGATATATTTATTAAATTAAGGATAATATAATCTATTTACTCAATAATTTATTGTAACTTAGATAAATTTAATAGTTTTCTTAAAAAATGTGAAATTTCAAATGTGACAAATATTTAGGAACATGGTAGTATTATAACGAATTTGATTATACTTTTCAACAAAATATTCAATTCTATTATGTTCAAATTGGAATGTTTTGATGGAATCAATTTCAATCGTTGGAAAAATATCCATCGAGTGCAAGTCTACAAAATATCTCTAAGCTATCTGTTGGCTCAAGGCTAATTTTATCCTAAGATTTTGATGATTATATAAACCAAATAAATTTAATATTTCTATATGTGCTAAAGATATTTTATCTAGATTTATTTTTAATGTTGATATTATTGAAGAAATCAAGCTCCTACAATCCAAGATTTTTTATTGAAGCCATGCAGGTTAATGAACATATTTTTAGTGGTTAGTATTTTATTAAATATTAAAAATATTATAGGATAGAGATAAAATTATATTATAAGCAAAAAAAAAATCTATTTTATCTCTCTTAAAATTATTTTAAAGTGCTTTTGATAAAAATATTAAGAGGATATAGTCAAATCATTGCTTTCATGTTTTCCCATTTGAAAAAGATTTTTGGAGTAAATCTCTTTTGTGGCTATTAAATGAGTTTCTGCAAAAAGCAGCTTCTTATTCTAATACAGCTGCAATTCTGATGTAAAAGTTACACAGCTTTCTGAAAGCAACCCTTCAACTTCATACCTTGCGTGTAAGCTTTCAAATATCGAACTAATAGCCCATTGAATGCAACCTATGCTGTGTATACTTATTTTAAAATGTCAGAATAAATCGTTACATTTTAAAGCAATAACCACAACTCATTTATAACGGGATTATCACTCTTTCTTATAAAAACACTTTCCTCGTTCAAAAGCAAGTGTTGGCAAAAGTAAGAGACAATTGTTCAAAGACTTAAATCTTTCAAAGCTCTCTCTTCAACCCCCTTCACTTCTTTTCTTCTCTATTCTTCAAGAAAAATTTTAAGAGAAAAGAAATCTTGTTAAACAACTCTTTTGAAGAATAATTATAAAATTACTTTATGTTTTCAAAATTTGTTTTTTGTTCTTCTTGTGCTTATAGTTGCATTTCTCTCAGTCTATATAGATTGTTGTAATCTGTTATAGACTAGAGGTTTTTAAATGAAAAATATTTGTGTAATAGCTTAGGTGAGAAGCTATGTTGTAAAGGTTATCAAACGATATTCTCCGTTGTGAGATTTTAATGTCTTGATCTTAGTTTTCTGTTCTTTGCAAAATCGAAGGGTAGAGGTCGATTAGAACCTTTAAAATTTATTGGTTAAAGGTTAAATCTAGGTGTTGATCTATTTTCTTGTAACCGTTGGTTGTCTCTTGCCCTTTAAAAGAGATAACATAGCGGAGGATCTCAAGATGAGGCTTGGAGAGTGGATGTAGAGAGTTAGTGCCAAACCACTACAAACATCTGTGTTATTCTTTTTTTATTTTTTTGAAGTGTTGCTTGATTATATTCTGATTATACATCTGTTAATATTTTTAGAAATGCAAAGTTGTTAATGATTTTCTATTTCTAATTGCGAAAAAAGCTTTATCTTTGTGGAACATTAGAATTCTGGATCTTTCTATACTATGATTTCTTCAAGTTCTAATCCGCCCTTTTATATTTAATAGAAATCAAAATCTGAGTTATAATCAGTATTCTAATCTTTCATAAACTTTGTTAGGAAGTTCTAAACTTGATAACTGACTCTCACAAACACTTTCTAATTCCGCTACTATAGAATTCTGATCTTGTGTTTAAAAGCTAAATTTTTAGAAAATCTAATTCACTCCCTCTTGGGTTGTGCCATACATAACAGCGCTCACACAATCTAATATCAATACTAAAAAATTATAGCATCTTAAAAGAAGCATAAGAGGAATTATTCTAAATTCATAGTCTCACAGGTTATATGATTTGTTTTGACCAATTGAATCCCATAAGAAATTTGGAAAACCTTAGAAAACAATTAAATGAAGTTGTAAATAACAATGAAAAGGTTTTCATGGAAAATTATGATGCAGTTAAAGTACTTAAAAGGGGCAACTAAATTAGAATTTATCTCTAGAAGGACAAATGCAAAGAAGATTGAGGAAGGTTCCATATTGGTCATGGAAATATTTGGACCTGACATTGGAGTACAAAATAAAGAGATAAGCTTGAAAGAAGATTCAAGGCTAGTTAACATGATTCAATTATGAAGACCTTAAGCTTGTTACTTAGTAATTAGTATTATATTTTAATTAGCATAATAGAGCATGTATGAATTGTTCTTTATGTTTTATTGAGTTTTTAGAGGTTCTTAGTTATTAAGTTTTTACTATTGTAAGGGAGATAATAATTTATACGTTTTATGCAATTTAATTCAACAGAGGTGAATTCTCTTTGATTCTTCATTTAACTTGCTTTTGAATTTGTTAAAGATAATTAATCTTTACGGTGTTCAGTCTTTCACCTTTATATCTGTGGCTCATACTTTTAGTTAAATATAGCACCAAGATCCATTATTTCATCTAAGAGGAAATACCTAATTTGTGATTTAGGGTTCCTAACTTGGGATTTAGCTAGGGTTGTACACGAGAGCGGGGGCTCAAATCAGGTTTATCTATCTTTTATTTTTTGGTTTCATTTGCTTTTGTTTGTTTCCGTTTATTTCTTTTTATTTTGGTTTGTTTCCATTTGATTCCATGCACTTTTATTTATTTCGTTTTTCATTATTAGTCAATTTTTACATTAACAATCTATTAAAATTGTGAAGTGAGCTAAAATTACTAAAAAAATCTCACCAACCTAACTTTCAAGAAAATTGTGGTTTGTTATTTCATCATTCTAAGTTATAACATAAAGTTCTTTTACTTCCTATTTTATTCTGAACTTATATTTCATTATTTCTAAATTCATAATATAAAAAGAATGAAAATTGCTTGAACATTGAAATTTGCACTAGAAAATCGGCGCAAGATCAAGCCATTGTTTAAGGATTCTTTGTAATTTGAGTTTTCAATTTCTTATTTGAATGATTACTTTTTAGTTTTTTATTGACTAGTTTGAAGTTTAGTTCCTTAAAAAGTTATAAGATAATTCTTATAGTGGTAAAAAGCAATAGCGGTGAGCACAAATGAAGAAAAAACCTACTTTAATTCTAGAAAAAACAATGATTTTGATGGTGATGGTGGCAAAGTGATAGTTATAATGGTGGTGGTGGTGTTGGTGTTGGTGTTGGTGATGGTGGATTGATGGTGGAGTGATAGTTTGACGGTGATGTGTTAATTACATTATATATTTATAAACAAACATAAAAATAGAATGATTATTACATTCCATAAATGTTTTCAATTATATGACTGAATATAATAATCGAATGTTGATCACATTCCATTCCAATATATTTTTCATTGTATTATATTTTTATTATATTACATTACATTACATGCAACGAAACATAGTCTAAGAGTTATGACTTCTCAAAACTCAAAGGTTGTAAATCTTCACAGAAGAGTTCTACGGTATTATAAATTCATGTTACCTTTTCAAAGCTTTTTTATAGAAGTCTTCACTCTCTTCTTACTTTTTCTCTCACAATCATATATATTCCTTTAACATATTCTGGGGAGGATTTTAGATATTATTGTCTAGAATTCTCTTTGGCTTGTTTATCTAAAAGGAATTGGCCATTACCTAGCAGTAACGTTGTGGGGCATAATTTCCTTAAGGACAGTCATTGTACACAATTAAAGTCTACTTTATTATTATTATTATTATTATTATTATTATTATTCATCCAAAAAATATCCTTTTAAGAAGTAAAATACCCTATAATATTTTACTATTTTGATAATTCGCATTTAATGTATCATTACTATTTAACCCCTAATATTTACAATTCAATTTCTATTACTCTCTCTTAAATGACACTTTTTAGAAAAAAAAAACTAAATAATTTAATAAAACTGAACTTAAAAGAATGTTTAGAGTATTTACTAAATTTTATATTTGACATAGATACTGTATACAATGAATATTATACTATCTGGCAGTTACAATAATACAAAAGTCTATTAAGGGCAATTCAACAATATTATATTGAAGCCCATTAAGGGCAGACTAACTTAGAAGGAATATAAATATATAGTATAATTAAATGGATACAGATATGGAAATCATAACTGGGACATATCAAACTAAGGGACTAAATGGCCATTTACCATTTATATTAAGTGTTTCTTTTAATTTTTTTATTCATGATTAATTCTTTAAAGAAACTAGATTCTAAATGTTCAAGGTAAATAAATACCAAATGTCCTAAATCTCTCTCTTTTTTTTTTTTTTTTTATGGCCCATTTTAACCATTTTAATTTAAGTGTTTCTTATTTTTAAATTCATGAATAATTCTTTAAAGAAACTAGATTCTAAATGTTTCAGGTAAATAAATACCAAAAAGTGTCCGTAAATCTTCTCTTTTTTTTTTTTTTTTTTTTTATAAATCATATGTATCCAGACCCTATTATCAAGGACCGCCTAATCCGGTTCGGAGTTTAGTCACAGTTAATACTCTTTATCTCTCTAAGTGTGTATAGTAAGGCTCGAAACACAAGTGCTCTTCCCAAATGCCGACCCTCGTTGTAAACTAAATCACGACCCGTAAGTAAATGTGCTAAATCTTTAACACAACCATATATTAATTTTTAAATATGTTATCAGAGAAAAGAAATCTAAAATTTAAAATTTGAACATTTCATTTATTAATTATATTTTAGTACAAGATTAGATAAGATGAATTGATATTAATTGATATATATATATATATATAATATATATATATATATATAATATATATATATATATATTAACAATTGAAGTAAAGAAAAATATATTAACAATTGAATAAAGAAAATCCAAACATAAAGAAATAACTTAATTAATATGCTACAAATATTAATTATGCACCAGTAACTTCAAGTGCTACTTTAATCCCTCCATACAATTCACCCAAATAAACATAATAAAAAACTTATATATAACTACACTTTTCACACACCAAACCAAAACATAACTACACCCTTATATGCACACCAAGACATAGCTTAGCAGTAAGTGCATATACGACCTGACAATATATCTAGATTTGTATCCCTCATTTTCCATTACTCAAAAAAGAAAAAAAAAAAACACCCTTATATAAGTTTACATAACATTACATATTCATATAAACATTAATTAACTAAACATATATATAATCATGGAATACCAATTATGGGAATGAAAGGAACATAATAGCTAGAAGGAGCCAAACCCCATTCCCGTGGAAGAGGCAAATCAACTGTCTTTGATGAACCAAAACCTGCTGCCTTAGGACATGTAGTGGAAAAGGCAAGTGGAGTGGAAATTGTGTATGAGTGCGAATTTTTCTGGGTTTTGACAATTTTTGAGACCATGTTTTTTCTTGAGGCACAGATCTGGTTTTTACCACCAATCAGTTTGGCTAAGCAGTTTAATGGAGTTTGATGGTTTCTTGATGTTTCTGAAGGAAGCTTAACTTCAAAGGATCCTTTACTTCTTGTTGTAGTTGTTGCTATCCTTTTCACATTTTCACACTTCACTGCAATCTTAATGCCTGAGACAGAGATATGTAAATAATTACATTTTTTTTTATTCAAAATTATTGAAATTGAGGGATTGTTTATAGGAAAAATAATAATTATTATTATTATTATGAATAATTGTTGTAATACTAACCCAATGTTAACTAATTAGAATTAAATATTTAAACTTCACACAAAATTTTAAACATGAGTGTGACTTGCTTGAAGTGAGATAGTATTTATGAAAAAGAAAAAGTTTGTCCTTAATTTGCTATGACCCTAGTTGCAAGGCAAGATATTTCAATATGACATTTAGAGTTTGTTCGGCAAAAGTAGCTAGTTAGCTGTTTGAATATATGGGTTAACTTTTTTATAAAATGCTACGGTAACATCTAAAAACTAATTTAAATGCTAAATATTAAGTTATTCAAAAAGTTATTACTAAATTAAGTGTTGTACCAACTTAATTTACCGAACACAGTCTATTACCAACTTGGTTTACCAATCTTAATGACTAGCTTTTGATGTATGGTTTTCTAAAGCTCATAGCGTCTTCTAGTGCCTCTAAGTATATAACAACTAATGCCTACAAGTGTTAGATTTTTTTTTTTTTTTTTTTAATGCCTCAAGTGTTAGATTTTTTTTTTTTTTTTATATAAATATAGGTATCATACAATATCTACATCCTAATTTTTTTTTTTTTTTTTTATATAATAATATAGGTATCATACAATATCTACATCTAAATTCCAAATTAGTTTGACCCGACCGTATGAGTCTTTAGAAATAACTTCCATTTCAACTAACTTTTTTTTTAGATTTTCAACTTCCATAGCAAGCAGACTATTACAACAAATTTAGAAGAAATAAGTATTTTCAAGTCAGTAAATTGTCGGGAAAGCTTAATTACCCTAAAATGTGACAACAAGAACAAGTATAATGTGCACTGAAACATAAAGCCATAGTATAATTTAGAGTTTAAAACAAACCTGATAAGTCATAATGGCTAATGCATTGAAGACATGAGACGTTGGCTTTAAGGATTTGAGATGTGGATAACTCAATCCCTGAAAGAGCCAAAGCAAAGAGCAGAAATACTAAAACAGTAGACTGAGAAGCCATTGAAGCCAGAAAGTGAAGCAACTCACTGTGAATAATAGAAGGGAATAATGGAGAATATAAATAAGCAGAGCATCCAATCCATCGGGCACCATATTTAATAAAATGGCCCAAATACTGAGGTTAGTAGTTGGTCTTCATTGAAAGTTGCAATAAATTTTACTTTGCATATATCCTGTGAACTTGCCATGATAAGTCTGCAGTTTTCCCTTTTTTTTTTTTTCTTTATATATCGTCAAGGCTAGGTCTGACACATGAATTACTGGACAATACGCAATTGGTAATTTCATTACGAGAGTACTAATGGCCATTAGGGTGAGCATCGGATTAACCAAATTAAATTAGCTAGATTTTAATTTATTTAAATAAATTTTATGGCATTCAAATCAAAATCTAAATAGTATAATAACCGATTCAAACTGAATTAAATTGATTTCGTTCGGTTTAAATTTCTATTATTTCCAATCAAATTAGTTATTTTGATCTTAAAATAAATTCAATTAATTATATATAATAATTGAATTAAAAACCGAAATTCAAACTGTTTTATATCTAAACTGATCAGTAAATGAATTTTTAAAATAATTATCTGAATCCAACTGAATTAAGTAAATTTACTTCAATTATCGATTAAAATCCGAGAATTGCTCAACTTTACTCACCACAGTCTCCCATAATAAATTAGCGATACCCATGATGCTGGATGCAATCACTTTAGCGATACCCATTTGTTATTTTACCAATGCTAGCCACGAAATGCTTTTGGTTAGCTATTATTACAACAGAAAGCACTGGCGCAATAAAAGAATATAAATAATTAGGAGATATAATCCTTTTCCGGATAATAAAATGCCAGAGTTTTTTATTCTTCTTCAAATACATTTTTTTGGAATCGAACCTCTACTTTTACTCTTCTTCTTTAAATACATTTTTCCCAAATTAAATCTATACTTTCACTCTTGTTAGTTTCATGATTGGATTACCGTTTCAACCAATATATTTGTGAAAAAAATGTTACTAGAGAGATATAATTAACTCAGTGAGTAAAGGAAAAAAAAAATCAGATGCAAAAAATAACACCTTGAAATTAATGAAGAAAGTAGTACAGTTGAAATGTTGACTGACTAGCAAAGAAAAACATTTCAGAAACATTTAAGACATCTGTGATGAGGTGGGTAATTGTACACCTAGCACTATAACTGACACAGACAAAATTAAATAAATAAATAATTGCATCACAGAAAGTTGAAAAAAAGAAAGAAATTTCATCTTCCACGTTTGAGATTGAGAAGTACGTAACATTGAATCCGTAACCATTCCTCTATTCTATAACGTTGAAACGTAAGCATTAGGCAATTTTTGTTTTTGAGGGTATAAGCAATATGCAAGTTGATTTAGCAACAAGAAGACAGATAAAAGATACCGCTGGCATAGCTTACAGCCATAATTTTCAAATTCTTCAAATGGGTTCTGTAGGGCAGCTTTTAAGGCATCAAATGCCACCTCCAAATTATGGTTTGGTCGTCTTGTCTCAGCTTCCTTCTACCTTCCTTTCTACCTCTAAGAATTGATGCTTTCCCTCTCTAATCCGACATGTTTCATTAATTGGAATCACCTTTTTCCAATGGGAGACATGTAATTATTTAGGGTTCAATCACAATTCCACAATGGTTGAAATGAAGTCGTTTTAAGTTCAAATTCAATTTGATTAGAAAATGACTCTAAGCTCTATCAGATATGAAATGTTATTTTCCATGCTCAAATCCAACTTGTAAAGATATTCAAAGTACTGCTTAATGCAGACTTGCTTGGAGTATGATTAAAAATTAATAATTAAAGATAATTTCTGCAAAAATTCAAGTCCTGAAAATTTCCAAGTCATACAGATATGGAAGAAGGAAAAATAAAGGTAATTTCCAATTCATTTTTATTGAACAAAAGCACTTTAAATACAAATTCCTAAAAGAAGAAGAACCCATATACCAAAACATTCGGTGCAGAGCTGAATCAACAAGAAGCACACAGCAGACACCTAAAAGAACCAAACTTTTTATTTGCACTACCTTTATTCCTTATATTCAATTGCCAACTCATGCCTTTTTTTTTTTTTTTTTTTTTTTTTTGCAACTCATAGCCTTTTTTTTTTTTTTTTGTTTTTTTTTTTGGAAATTATCAAATTATCTAAGCTGCAAAGTGTCAAATCCAAAATTTAATGCAACCGAATTTTGTCTTCATTAATTTTTTTTTTTTTTTTTTTTTTTTTTTGGAATTATCACTTATCTAAGCCTGCAAGTGTCAAATCCAAAATTTAATGCAACCAATTTTGTCTTCATTAATTCACTCTTGTATTTTAAGATAAAGATGACCAAACAAAAAAAAATGCTTATATGTCAAAATTTTCCATTTCCATATTGTTAATTTAGAATGTCAAAATCAACAAAAACCTCCAGAGAATCAAACTTTTATGAGGGAAATCATCCAATTAAATGTTCAGATCCTAAAATATTTTCCTAACAAAAACTTAAAACTGGTGGCAATTAAGTGTCGAAAGCAACCCAATAGCTTATGGAAAAACAATTTAAATATTTCTACTATTGCAACAAGGCACATCCAGTTAGACTTTCTATTTTATGAAAGATTTAAGACATACTTTCTTCTATGATTATATTGCATCTCACTTAATCAAATCTAACCTGGACCTATATATGGATCCCATAGTTCATATCTTGTGAAAATCAGTACAACTACCATAGTGACATAAGCAATCCCATTCATCAAATAAACCAACACAAGCCACCTAATTAAGAGGTGGGATCTGATTCATTTTTCATATTACAGCAGACTAACCATTATAGAAATTGATGATGCATAATAGACAAGTTGATCTTTTAGTACACTTCTATGGCAATTTGCACAAAATTAAAGAGGTCGAAAATTAATGAGCATTCTAAGGCAAGTTAGAGAGATTATTCTACTTCAGTACATCTAAGAGGTGAAACCTCTTAAATGTTATGAGAAACAAAACAATTTGCTAAATGAATACAAAATGAGAGAGATTGAAGATAAGGTTGCAGATGATATGTAGAAAATGAGTTTACAGTCAAAATATTTGATACATCAATCATCACATGGAGGCTTTACATTTTTACTGACAACCAGAAATAAAGATGAAAACAAGAGAAAAAATTGTCATGCAAATCTTGACAGAATAGTCTTCAATGTGGCATCAGTAAGAAATTCAAAGTTTGAGAGAGTTCAAGCTAAATACAGTTTTCGATTCAACATACTTAATCAAGGTGTTATAGACCTTCATGTACTAAACAATATGCCTTCAGCAGCAACTCCAATGAATGATGGAGGCATCAGCAAAACCTGATAGCTTTTAATAGTTTGGTCATTTAATCCGATACTAGAGGTGTAAAAAGAAGAAAGATCCAGCAAAAACCATCCCTAGAGACTGAAATCAATAATATCATTTTTCTAGCAGTTGTAATACAGCTAAATAAATAATCAGGGAAACTAATTAAACTTGTTCCAATGATCTCTACCGCTACCTAAGTATGCGGAAGACTTTCTACCAGCTTATTCAATTGCATTCAGTAACTTTAATATTCTGAGATTCATCCATGAACAATCTAAGGAATTTGAAGTTAGCCAACAGTTTTTTCTAAAGAAAGCACCACCATTCTACCACATTGAATTAGACTGTGACAAACAGAATCACTGTCAAAATATTAATGAATCAAGTATCAGTTTCACTTCAGCTTCACGAGTTTAACGAGGATATAAAAGAAAGTATAAGGGGAGATAAGAAACAGCTGAAACCCTCATGTCTTCCACACAAAACTAGTAAAATAAACACTATCCACCGTCAATTTTTAAAAACTTCTCTTATATCATTTTTAAACATGGATATTAGTAATGCTCTTTTCATTTTTTTATTTCCTTTCCTGTCCAACAGTTAAAAGACTGATCTTTGCCATTCTACTTTGAAGTTTGACCAGAACTTCCACTCTGGCCGTAGGTCTTGCATCATTACATATCCTTCTGCAGAATCCCTACAGAATAGTTTTAGAGTACTGAAGTACCAAATAGAATTTCTGACTCTTTAAGGATAAGAATAAGATCTTAAAATCACTGTTGAAAGGGATGTAAAAATAGAAGTATAAGGAATTATGGGGGAAGTATAATCCAGCCTTCTCCAATAAGAGTCGCACTAGAAAGAGCAAGTCTTTGGGGTCCCAATTACCTAGCATATTCTTTCTGTTCCCTCGTAATTGCAGAACACTGCCACACAATTTACAAGCAATTTATAAGCATTGCAAATGCAACCCAAAAAAAAAAAAAAAAAAATTGGTATGATCATAATGGATTGTAGAGTTCATTTATAGCAGTCAAGCGGATATGCACTTATATCTTTAATATTCAGTTGACTGTTCAGTTTAGAGACTAAACATGAATACACACGCCTAATTATTAAAGTTAGAATAATAATTAGACTCATAATACTGTAATTGCAAGTACCCAAATCAAAGTAATCTTCACTAGAAGTCAACATATGCACAACTTTCCCTCAGCATCCAATTCAATTAGCTTAACATTCCACAAATAATTATAAAAATAATAATAATAATAATAATAATAGAGGACTAATAATAAAAAGCCCTCAATAATCAATCAATCAAGAAAACCAGTACGCCGCCACACCGCATTTCTTACCTGCCTAAGATCTCTCCCTTTTAGCGTCCTTCCAACCCCTTCCAACACCGAGCAGGCCAGCATTGGCGACTGCGCCCTCGCCACGATCTCATGTGGCGGAAGCATCTCTCCGTCCCCTTCATCCTCGTTCTCGTCAATCTCGTCGAATTCTTTATGCCTCCTCCTCATTGCCATTGATAAAACTGGCACGTTCACCGGCGCAGACTGGGGCTGATGAAACTTGGAAGAATTGAATGATGTCGAAATCGGCAATCTATCCTGTGGCGGCTTGGGAACGGAAGGAATGAAACGAGAAGGTGACGTCGTCGATGAGGACGAGGTAGGCGAAGAAATTGTTGTTTTCTGGTACAAATGGTGATGCGAATTGGATTTATGCTCCGGAAGAGCCGCCAGGATGCCGAAAGATTCCGGCTGTGCGAAGGCTCCTTTGTGGCTGTGAGTATGGAGCGGGTGGTGGCGCGGAGAGGAGGTAGAAGAGGGAGGGCTATTATGGTGGTTGGAAGCTTCGGAAAAATCTCCGGTGGAGAATATATCATCCTCGTTGAGCTCATTATCTTCATTGTTAGCGGCGGTGGTAGCGGGATTATCTTGCAGCGCTCGTGGAAACGCGCCCAGGAATCGGTCACTGGACGCCGTTTTCCGGTGCCTGAAACGGGCGGATCCGTTTATGTCCATGTCGGAGACGGTCGGGTTGGGAATTGCTACTCTTTCACGGAATTTGTGCCTTCCATGAGAGAGAATTTATTTTACAGAGGGGAGTGTGTGTATTTTACGGGAGAGGCGAATCCAACCAAAAACAAAAAAAAGAGTGACGTGGCAGACAAATGAGTGGGAAAAGTACATTATTTGTTCAGATAATAACGAAGCAGTGACGTGTTTTAAGACGACAGATCGTAGCCGTTAGTTATATGAGGTCAATGTGAATTTATGAACAATAAACGGTTAGATGAAGTGAGGTTAGGTAGTAGAAGTGCAAAAAAAAAAACAAAAATACTATTTTTAGATTTTACAGGGGATAATGAGTAATGAGGGGCAGAAAGTCGGTCTCGTTTGAGGAAAGGTGGGCCCTACAAGTTTCGAAATAAGGTTTGGATTTTCTGATTTTTGAAGGAAAAATATTTGACACTAGCTAGAAGCTTTCTCTCAATGTTCGTCCTGATCCTTCCTAGTTCATATTTTGAACGATGCTTATCCACAAATACCATTACTTTAGTAAATAAAGTTAGAGTTAGGTGTTTACAAGTTTTTAAAATAATTAGGTAAAGGCCGGCATATTGCATGAGATTTTAATTTTTTTTTTTTTAAATAAATTTAGGTGTGTTATTGTATGAGTCATTTAAAATAGATGAATTATCAAATACTGTAATTTGTGTTAATTAAATTAAATTTTTGTATTTTTTATTAGACTATTTTTTTAAAAAAATATGAATTATGTTCATTTTTCAATTTTAGAACATTTATAATTTTGAAAATTGATTATATGTTTTTTTTTAATTCAAATCTTTTTGCAATTGGAAATAAAACAAAAATCAAGTTTATTTATTATTTTTTAAAAAATTAAAATCATAAAGTGAATATTAAATGATAAATGATATTTGTGTCATATAATTATTGCTAGAAAATTAAATCGATAATTTTCAAGTATGATGGTGACGATGAATAAAATTATTTTACTAAATATTTTATTTCACAAAATATGAATAAAATTATTTCACTTGCAAGTTTCTTTTATTGATCATCTTCAAGTATGATGGTGATGAAGATATATGGATATAAAAATAAATAATCAATATAATTAAATGGACATAAAATAAAATTAAAAATATTCAAAAATTCAAATATAAATTAGATAATTATTTTGATCATCCTTCAAGTATGACTGGTTGATGAAGATATATGGATATAGAAAAATAAATAATCAATATCAATTAAATGGACATAAAATAAAATTAAATATTCAAAGAATTCAAATATAAATTAGATAATTATTTTTAAATAAGTAATAAGTTTTAAATTTTAGACTTAAAAAAAGTATCTTAAGTTAATCTAATAAAAAACAAAAAAAAAGTTCAAAAATTTAAATTGAAATATAGATATGAGATAATTATTAATAAATGAAATATTAATTTAAAATATGAATTATTAGAATATAATTTTTTAATTGTAAATAATAAAAATTAAATTAAAGGATAGAATATCATTTTAAATATAAATGTTATCTAATTTTATTTTTAATTTATATAAATATATTTATTTTTAATTTATATTTATTAAATATATTTATTTTTAATTTATTATATGTATTTTTTAATTTATTAGATGTTATTTTATAAGCTCTTTTTGTTATTTTAAATGTATTTATTGAATTTAATGTTTTTTCTTTTTTTCTTTTAAATCATTTATGTAAATAATAATAATCTATAAGCAAAACATATAAAAAAAATAACAAAATAACAATAATAAATAAATAAATACTGATATTTCATTCATAAGCATAAAAACTACATAGACAAAGAAAAAATCTACTACTAAACATACTCTATATCATACAACTTATTGTTTTAACTGAAGAAGAAGGGGCGTGATATATATCGATTGAATTTGTGAGTATCATCCTTTTGCAATTCAAAATATAAAAAACAATAATAACAATATATATTAAAATGAAAAAATAAAAATTTATAGTGCACAATCAAAACTCAAAACATTGAAAACAAAATAATCTAAAGAAACAACAAAGCAATATAAAGAAAAATATTGTCAAAAAATCATGAAAACTGTGAGGTATTTATAGATATACATGTATAGATGTAGATAAGAAAAAAATTCAAAAATTTAAAATTTTTAAATTCAAAAATTCAAAAGGTTTAAAGTTTTAAAATTCAATAATTTTAGATTAATCATTATTATTATAAAAACATTTAAAACAATCATCCAATCAAAATTTTCAAAAATTAAAATAGAAATTCAAAATTTTGTAAAAAAGAGAAATAGAAATGCTTGGTAGAGACTGCCAAGTCAGATTCTTATATATTTTTTTTGCTTCAAGAATATATATATATATATATTATAAAAATAAATTATTATTTAATCCCTATAATTTAATAAAATATTATTTTATTAAAATTTATGAATTAGTTGAATGGTTTTTCTATTAATTTTGTATTCCATTATAATGAATTATAAATTTTATCTTTAACAGAATTTCTTTTTTTTTTTTGCGTATTAATACCGAATTAAATGAATTAAATTTGTTGCTTGGTTATTTCCCTCTTATTGTATTAGTGTATTTCATTTGCCAATCTCAATTTGTGATTAGTTCTAGAAAATAATGAATTTCTTCTAAATAGGTGCAAACCAAATAAATTTGATATTAAAGAAACAATAGAACCAAAAGAAGAATGTGTTGTTCTCAAAAATATCATGATTTCAAGGGATTTATAATGTTTTGGTTATACTTAATAATTTGAATTGTCATTAACCTTTTTCACAAAATGTTTATCCTTATATACCCGAAAAATTCTTTGCAAAAAAATTTTCATTTAAAAATTTAAATATTAACTTTAACCAATAATATTGAGTATCTCATTATTATAAAAAATATATAAATTAACTAATACCTTGTGACATTATTTAATCAAATTTTGGGTGAATATATTTATATTTGTTATACCAAACCCTTAATTTAAGTATGTGAAAAAAAAGTAAAAATCATTACCTATAAATTTCAATAAACTATAAGAAGTAAATAGTAATTTAGTTAAAAAAAACAAAAACTCTATTACATTGTTTGGTTAGACTTTTTTTAAACTTTGTAATAATTGAGATTACATGTTTAATCTTTATTACTTAAATTGATATAATATTTATTTCATAAAAAAAATCTATCTAAAGCCAATTACATTCCTCAAAGGCTGTACTTATTCTCAATCACCACCACAATCAACATTCCACCACCATAACCACCGGTCTACCACCACACCAACACTACCATAGCAATCACCACCACCACTAACGCAACCACCATCGCCAATCACCGCAATCACCACCATATACACCACCACCACCACTCTACTACCTCTATCACTACAACCACCGCTACTAGCATCACCATTAGTACTGTAATTACCATCACCACCATATAATTATTAATTATCTTATTATTATTATAGGAATAGACAGCATTGAATGGAAAATCACTAAAAAGATTAAATACTATAATTTTATATCGTAATTTAATTGAATGAACAAAAATATATAAAATTTTACAATATTAATTTTCAATGGTTTAACTTTTATTTTTTTATATTATATTTTCCTTGGCTTTTTTTTTTTTTAAATTTTCTAGTCCAAATCGTTTATAGGTCTAAATAGTTCTTAATAGCTTGATTTAATGAATAACTTTTGATTCAAATAATAATAAGAATAATAATAATAATAATAATGTGGTGATAGTGGTGGTGGTGATGGTAGTAGAGTGGGAGTTGTGGTGGTGGTGGCAGCGGCGACAGTAGCAACGACAATAGTAGTGGTGTGATTGATAATAGTAGTGAGATAATTACATTACATATTTATAAACAAATATAAAAATTAAATAATGATTACATTCTATAAATTTTCTCAATTACATTACCAAACATAATAATTGAATCGCAATTATATTTCATTATATTATATTTTTCATTATATTATATTTTTTATTATATTACATTGCATTACATCAAACTAAATATAACCTCTGAATAAAAAGGTGGTTATTGGACTGGGCTTAGAGAAACAGCAATAGAATTGAAGAACTCTAAAATTAGGGCTATGCAAGTCAAAATAGATTCTCACATTTGCAGGCTGGGCCGACCCGTACGAATGGTCCTAAGATATGAAATCCACACACCGAGGCGCCTTTCGGAAATAACTTTAGAATCCAAGGGGCCTTTTAGTAAATAGAAACACTTCTTCATCTCACAACCCTAGCTCTCTCTTCTCTCCCATATAAAACCGACTCTTTAAGCTGTTCAAGTTTCCTCTGCCATTTGCGAGCCACCGGTGATCGACTCGAGCGACATCTCTCAGCTTCTAATCTAATCTAATCCGCATTCAAGCCATGGTAAGCCAAGTCCTACTTGCTTCTTTAGTTTCTATTCAATTACATGTATATATTGTTCATTTTCTTGATCTCTGTAATATTTACTCGAATGAACAGCTTGAGGTTAAAAATGGCCTGATATAGGTTTTATTATTGGGAAGAAATTATATTTTGATGTCGTGTTTGTATTTTTTTGTACTCTTGAAAGTAATCCAAAATGAGAAGATTGATTCTTTATATGTTGGCGGCATTTTAGTGCAAGTTTAATACATTCGATCACTTTCGATTTTAGTTTGATATATTGTGCATTTCAATTTTCTATATTTTCTTTTTATGATGTTATTATTATTATTTTTTGAAGTCTTGAGGATTAAAAAATTATGAATTTTTTATCTCTATTTTAATTTATATAGAAAATTTGATTTAGTTTTGTTCAATTGTTGTTAGTCGAGGAAGAAGACCAGAGAGCCAAAGGAAGAGAATGTTACTCTTGGGCCTGCAATAAGAGAGGGAGAACACGTTTTTGGTGTTGCACATATTTTTGCTTCTTTTAATGACACTTTCATTGTAAGTATTTATGATACTTGATGGGTTTCTTTTCTTTTATCATGTTTTGGACTTTTTGTGTCAATGATATGTTTTGTGATTGTAGCATGTCACTGATTTGTCTGGGAGAGAAACCATGGTTCGCATCACTGGTTGATGGGTTTCTTTTCTTTTATCATGTTTTGGACTTTTTGTGTCAATGATATGTTTTGTGATTGTAGCATGTCACTGATTTGTCTGGGAGAGAAACCATGGTTCGCATCACTGGTATGTGTTTCGTGTATAATCATATTTTTCTAGTTAGATGCTCCCTACATAATTAGCATAATACTTGCGCGCATGTCAATGTGTTGACTATGTTTTCACTTTTCCAAAAAGAATTGGTTTCTTTCATTGCAAAATAGTTATTGAGTGGATATGTCATTTCATTTGATATTGTTTTTGGAGTGGTCGAGTAATTGGAGTAACTTGTAAGAAATGATGTTTGATGGAGAGTCCACAAGAAATTAAAATCTTCGGTGGGAACTATGTTTTTTGAGTCTACTAACTCATTGAACTGACCGCATTTGATTTGGCATTTGCGCCACCACCATTGCATTTAGCTTGAGATGTATATTTTCTGAATCTCAATCTTTATCGCTTTAAACAAGTACAGGTGGAATGAAGGTTAAAGCTGACAGGGATGAATCTTCACCATATGCTGCTATGCTTGCAGCACAAGATGTTGCAGCAAGATGCAAGGTCATTATGCTTGTTTATATTTTTGATGTTATGACATTTCAGGAAATATAATATTTTAGTATCTGATTTTCCCCCTATCCAAATGTTCATTTTTGACTAAATCTACCTTTGGAACCAATAGGAGCTTGGCATTACTGCTCTTCATATAAAGCTTCGTGCTACTGGAGGGAATAAAACTAAGACACCTGGTCCAGGTGCTCAGTCTGCTCTTAGGGCACTTGCTCGTTCTGGAATGAAAATTGGTCGAATTGGTAAGGCATTGACTTAATATTACTGTTCTTAAACAATAATTTGAAATTTGAGAACTTTGTGGACTTGAGACTCAATGATGTCTTGTGTGTTTTCAGAGGACGTGACACCAATTCCCACTGACAGCACTCGCAGAAAGAGTGGTAGAAGGGGAAGAAGACTGTAGAGTGTTTCCTGTCAACTGCATATCCAGTTTGGTGGTGGTGCTTTAATAGATTGGTTATGTTCACTACTTTTACTTGGATGGAATCTAGTTGTGACATCATTTTGTAGTTTTTGCATGTGGTTTTATCCTGGATTTTTGAATTTTGTAGAAAGATAATGAGTTAGTATGAATTTTGTTCAATGAGGTAATGTTTGAAGTCACTTGTGATTTTAATCTACTGTGGATGTTTATTTTTTAAAAGGTGAAGAGAATATTGTCCTTGAATTATGCTCATTTTATTTTTATCATAAAATTGTTCCTGATATAAGACAATTTGTGAATTTAACTATTTAATAGTTTTGAAATATTTATATCATTTCTCTATAGAAGTTGCGGATTAGATTATGTGAGATTGACAATGAAGTACCTTAAGGTTAAGGTTGTTTATATTGCCTTAACCATAAGCAACATTTGTTTAGTTGTGATGAAAGACATTTATATGAAATGTCCAAAGAGCAAAATGCTCATTCCATATTAAGGTTACAGAATATTGTTGTTTTATGGAGATGGTAAGTTTAACTTGTCCTAAGAGACTTTACGCACTGTTTACAATATGTGGAAGGTAAGAGACAACCGGATAATTACTTGTTTGTGGAGTACTCCCTCCGATTACACGAATTAAAAAAGAAAAAGACATTTTTCCAAATTTATTCGTTAACATTCTTTTCTTAATACTCCCTCCGATTACACGAATTAAAAAAGAAAAAGACATTTTTCCAAATTTATTCGTTAACATTCTTTTCTTAAAGTTAAATATCATGCTCCAAGATAATCTCTTTGCACTTTGGTTTTTCATCATAAAACGTGCACATTTGATAATGAAACATGTAGAAATTTCATTTTAGAGCAAAATTCTTTTGACAACCTCAACTCTCTCCTCAACATTTCACATTTAAATGTCACTTCTATCACTTCATGACATACGTTTGATATAGATATCGCAAAGGAAGCAATTGAATCGTTTGATATAGATATTGTAAAGGAAGCAATAGAAGCATTTAAGCTCATTTAGTAGACATACAAGCGTCTGAGGTCATTTTATTGTCAACTTGCTTTAGTGGCAATACATATCATATAAATGTTGTCCGTTGTGTATATTAAATTGTCTGCATTACACTTTATATGAGTAAAACATGTTCACCAATTTTAGAATGAGCACTAGATAATTTTTGTAGTGAAGTATGAGTTTTCGGAGATATGATTTTCAACTTTGAATGATTAAGTTAAAATTGAAGAATAATTGAGTTAGTATTTGAAACGGACACAATATTTCAAGTCATCTGCTGTCATTTGGAGGAAACTGTGTAGGAAAAAAATTCAATTATAAAATGAATTTGTCATGCATTTTTTAATCATTATAGACAGAGAAATAGATAAAAACATTGTTTTGGAAACCTAATCACAATCGATGTGTTTTTTGTAATAGATAAAAATGCAGGAGCCACAGTAGACTTGGGTACAAGACCAAAACGAAAACCCAAAAATGAAAATCTCTTTATCTTTGTACAGTTAAACTTAAAGTGAAATAAAGGACAGAAAAGACCGAATGATGAGATGAGACGGTCAAAGTTAGCAAAATAAGGAGACTAATATGCAATCAAATTAAATCACAGCTAATGAGTAAATCTCTCCTTACATTCAGAAACTTTGATTGTATTTCCTTTTAGCTACACTTGCCTTGTATAGATGTAATTCATGTATATAAATAGGCTTGTAATCTGCCGAATGATATATTGAGAAAAACATTGTTTATTTCATTCATTATCATGGTATCAGAGCCATACAATTTTTCCTCTCATCTTTGCTAAATTCTTTTGAGAATTTTTTTTTTATTTGAAAGCTTGTTCTTTGATTGTCCAACATGGTTTTTTATTTTCAAATCAAATTCATAACATGGAAGGAAGTAAGTCTGAATCCATTTCTGTTAAATTCAATGGGACCAACTTTGCTCTTTGGGAATTTCAATTTCAAATCTTTGTTGAAGGTAAAGGATACTCTGGTATTCTTGATGGATCTCATAAGGAAGATAGTACCACAGAAGCCAAGCTACAATGGAAAACAAAAAATGCTCGGGTTATCACTTGGATTCTAAATTCTGTGGAACCTGAAATTGCATCAGCCTCCGATCATTCAAAACTGCAGCAATAATATGGAAACATCTTCAGGGAATTTATTCTCAAGTGGATCAATCAAGGCAATTTCAACTTGAATATGAAATTGCTAACATCAACCAAGAGGATAGAGATATTCATGGCTTTTATATTGAAATTTCAAAGTTAAGTACAGAACAATATATGATATCTTCTTATATTATTTCTGATACTGCATATTCAGAAATTAAGGTGGAACGCGATCATGCATTCCTCGTGAAACTTCGACTAGAATTTGAGAATGTTAGGGCTACGCTAATTAATCGAGGAAATTTGAGTATGGAGTCTGCTCTTGGAGACCTTGTTCGTGAAGAAACAAGGCTGAATACTCAGATTCAGCTAGACACCAAAACCAACTCAGTAGATGCTCGTGAAACTTCGACTAGAATTTTGGAGAAATGTTAGGGGCTATCGCTAATTAATCGAGGAAATTTGAGTATGGAGTCTGCTCTTTGGAGACGGAGACCTTGTTCGTGAAGAAACAAGGCTGAATACTCAGATTCAGCTAGACACCAAAACCAACTCAGTAGATGCAGTCTTTATGGCTTCACGTGGTAAGTATTACTCAAAACAAAAGACTACAGGGAAAGCAGGTACTCAATGTCGATATTGTGGTAAACTGGGACATGTGCAGTCTCATTGTTGTAAGCGCAATATATGCAATTATTGTAAAAAGCCAGGACACATTATCTTGGAATGTCACATATTGAAAAATAAGCATGGTCATTCAACATTTATTACAATGAGTAATGATGGAGAAAACACCAACACTAAAGAAACTCTATTTTCATCGGACATAGTTCAAAAGATGATTCAAGATTCAGTGCAAGCAGCTCTTCCAAGTGCTCTTTCTTCTGCCTTCTCTGTTGCTGGGTTATCAGGTAAAGGCATTAAATCTATGTCTTGGTTCTTTGACTTTGCTGCCTTTATCATATGTCTGGTTAAAAACATATTTTTTCTAAACTTAAGCCTTGTTCTTCGAATGATTCAATTACCACAGCCAATGGACGAAAATTACCCATAAAAGGAATTGGCACTGTTTGTTTGTCTACTGAGTCTAAGAAATCCATTTTTTTACCTAATACTCTTTATATCCCACGTTTAATAGCCAAGATCATTTCTATTGGACAATTAACTGACCAAAATTGTGTGGTCAAATTCTCCCCTGTTGGTTGTGATGTGCAGGACCTTCAAACGAGACAAGTGATCATTAAGGGGCATAAACGTGGATGTTTATTTCATCTTGTTTCGGATGGTACACAAAATTATTCTTTATGTCTTTCAGCCTTGTCGTCTGCATCTGTCAATAACACTTGGGATCTGTGGCATCGTCGTCTTGGTCATTCGCATACTACCCGATTAGAATTTATGTTCAAATCCAATTTTCGTCTAGAAAAATTGCATGTTAAGTCTGATATTTCTCAAAATTGTCAAAGTTGTGCCCTTGGAAAATTTGCTAAATTATCGTTTCTTTCTAGTACTACAAAAGTTAGTTGTGCCCTTGGAAAATTTGCTAAATTATCGTTTCTTTCTAGTACTACAAAAGTTGATGCACCCTTTCATCTAATACACTATGATCTATGGGGTCCTTCCCTTGTTCTATCTAGACTTAGTTATAAATATCTTGTTTTGTTCATTGATCACTTTACTCGATTTACTTGGGTGTATTTTTTACGTTCTAAATCTGATCTAGCAAATATAGCCAAAACTTTTTGTTGCTATGATTGAGACACAATTTGGCAAAATAATCAAAATATTTCGTTTAGATTCTGGTGGAGAATTATGTGCTTCGAATCTTGTAAATGTTTTTCAAGAGAAAGGCATTTTAACTCAATATTCTTGTCCTGGAACACTGGAGCAAAATGGTGTTGTGGAACGAAAGAATCGCCATGTTTTGGAAATTGCTAGAACACTTTTACTTGAATCATCTATTCCACCTAAATTATGGGTTGAAGCTATACATACAGCTGTCTATCTCATAAATCGGCAACCTTCTCCTATAATTGGTAACCAATCTTCATATTATGCTCTTTACAATAAGTTACCTAATTATACCCATCTTCGTGTTTTTGATTGTATTTGTTTGTTTTGCTTCCTCCTCATGAAAGAAATAAGTTATCTTCTAAATCTGCTAAATGTGAGTTTATCGGTTATAGTGATAAACAAAAGGGCTATATTTGTTATGATCCACTAAGTCATCACACACGTGTGTCTCGTCATGTTACTTTCTTTGAAAATGTATATTTTATTCTTTCTCTCCTCATCAAAACGTTACTCATTCTTCCATTTCCTTTTTACATGATTTTGTTGATTCTTCTAATAATCTTACCCTTAATGTTGATGAGACAACGTCCACTTTGCAGCCAAATGATCATGTTCTTGAAGGTCCAGCCTCAAACTCTTCCATTGTCGATCCAACAACACCTCCTCCATCTTTGAGAAGATCCAATCGTGTCAATTTCGGAAGACCATCCACAAGGTATACACCATCCTACTCTTTCTTTACCAATTTAAATTCTATTCAGATTCCTTCTACTTATAACCAGGCTATTACAGAAGAATGTTGGAGAAAAGCAGTGGAAGAACTTAGGGCCCTTGAGGAGAATCATACTTGGGATTTAGTTCCTTAATCATCTAATATGTCTGTGATTAGGAGTAAATGGGTCGATACTATTAAAGTGAAGTCGGATGGCACTCTTGATCGATACAAAGCCCGATTAGTGGCTTAAGGATATAAACAAGAATATGGGATTAACTATGATGAAACTTTTGCTCCTGTGGCAAAAATGACTTCTATTCGCACTATTCTTGCTATAGCATCCATCAAGCATTGGCACCTTCATCAATTGGATGTGAAAAATGCATTAAACAATTTATATGAAGTGTCCTCCTGTATATGATTATGCTCGTTCCAATATGATTTGCAAACTTCGAAAATCTCTGTATGTTCTTAAACAAGCACCTCGTGCATGGTTTGAGAAATTTCGATCTACTGTTTGTTCCGCTGGTTTTCTACAGAGCTCTAATGATCACTCACTTTTTACTCGTCAATCTAATGGTGGAATTATTATTTATTTCTCTATGTAGATGATATGGTCATTATTGGCAGTGATTCTCAAGGTATTACAGAGTTCAAACAATTCCACAAGTTCATTTTCTCTGAAAGATCTTGGCACTCTTACCTACTTTCTTAGCTTAGAAGTTTCATATACACCTGATGGAATTTTTCTAACTCAAAGAAAATATATTGAAGACCTTCTTCAGTTGGCCCCTCTCACGTATCAAAAGATTTGCTCTACTCCAATGGAACCGTATCCAAAAGATTTGCATCTACTCGCAAATTGGAACCAAAATTAAAGTTAAAAAGTGATGAAAGCAACATTCTTATTCGGATTCCTACTTGATTGCTGCTTTAGTCAGGGGAGTTCTTATTTTAATATTACTTACTTATGCGGTCAGGATAATTCCTTTGTTGTGCAAAGTTGTCAGTCAAAGTTTGTCTTCTCAACCAAGGGCAAAAGCCTATCTGTTTCAGCTCTTCATCGCATTTTGCGATATTTAAAAGGAATTATGGGCGGTGGGTATTGTCTTTCCGCTCAAATACTTTCTCTCCCACTTGATGGCATATGCTTGATGTATATTATGCTGGGGCTGTTGTTTGATTTTAGCCTTGACGCATCTACGGAAAGATCTTGGCACTCTTACCTACTTTCTTAGCTTAGAAGTTTCATATACACCTGATGGAATTTTTCTAACTCAAAGAAAATATATTGAAGACCTTCTTCAGTTGGCCCCTCTCACGTATCAAAAGATTTGCTCTACTCCAATGGAACAAAATTTAAAGTTAAAAAGTGATGAAAGCACATCTCTATTCGATTCTACCTTGTATTGCTGTTTAGTAGGGAGTCTTATTTATCTTACTACTATGCGTCCAGATATTTCCTTTGTTGTGCAAGTTGTCAGTCAGTTTGTCTCTCAACCAAGAAAGCCTCATCTTTCAGCTCTTCATCGCATTTTGCGATATTTAAAAGGAACTTATGGTCGTGGGTTGTTCTTTCCTGCTCAATACTCTCTCACACTTATGGCATATGCTGATGTATATTATGCTGGCTGTGTTGATACCTGACGCTCTACGACAGGATGGTGTGTGTTCTTGGGTAATTCTCCTATCTCTTGGAAATGTAAAAAGTAAGAACGTGTCTCAAAATCTTCTACTGAGGCAGAGTATCGATCTATGCCATCTGTTAGCTCTTAAATTGTATGGCTCCAACGGCTTCTCAAAGATTTCGGAATAACTTGCACCCAACTTATCACGCTTTTTGGAGATAACACAAGTGCTCTCAGCATTGCTACAAATTAATGCAGTTCACCATGAGCCAACTAAACATATTGAAGTTGATTGCCACTACATTCGTGATTTGGTTCGTGACAAGTTCATTCATCTCACACATGTATCTTCTCATAACCAACTTGCTGATTTATTTACTAAACCCATGTCATCTACATGACATTCCTATCTTGTGAGCAAATTGATGCTTGCTGAGAATCACCATCAATTTGAGGGGGGATGTCAAAGTGAGCAAAATAAGGAGACTAATATGCAATCAAATTATATCACAGCTAATGAGTAAATCTCTCCTTACATTTAGAAACTTTGATTGTATTTCCTTTTATCTACACTTGCCTTGTATAGATGTAATTCATGTATATAAATAGGCTTGTAATCTGCAGAATGATATATTGAGAAAAACATTGTTTATTTCATTTATTATCAGAGACACACAAATATTAGTATGAGGAAGGAAGTAGTAGTGGGTGGCTATGAGCATATGCTAAATATTATGCATTATTTGATAGTTAAAAAGGCATTATATTTTAACAATTTGTACCCCAGTTAGGAGTAATTATCTGATAGTTATTCAACTCTAAATGATGAAAAATAGACAACAAACGGATACATATATATATATATATATATGTGAATAGAAGAAGGTAATGATAATGGAAAGGAAACCTAGCTATCTATCTTCATGGCTTGGGCACAAGACCAGCCTTGAGAGCCTGAATGGTGGCGACGTCAGTCTTAAAAGATACAGCCAAGACATTATCATCAATTCCAGTGGCAAAAAGGGTACTAGGAAGTGACACAGTTCCTGCATTTGCACTTCCAAAAGCAGAAACTGCAAAAGCAGGTTTCGTTGCATCTGCATTATATTGGAAATGAACAAGTCCTTTAGGAAATACAAACAAGTCACCAACTTGGAGTGTTTGAGTGTAAAGCTTATTAGTAGTATCAATAAATCCAACTTGTAAAGATCCATCGAGAAGGAAAAGTAGCTCAGCAGATCGAGGATGAGTGTGAGGTGGGTTAGGAGTACCGGCTGGGTATTGAAGAACTGCATAGGAAACACTCTGTCCATTTAGAGCAGGAAATTCTTTCATACTTGCTTTTAATACTGCGAAAGCTGTTGGTGGTGGAGCATCGACAAGAGAACGCATGCCAGTAAATGTGAAGAATGATCCATCAACTGATCCATTCGAATTTGAAGGAACTATGAAGTCAGAAAGAATGTCGGGATCTCCTGACATTGTTATCTGAAAAATGGCAAATAACGGAATTAGCAGTGAAAATGATCTAAATGTGGAAATTGGGAAGGCCATTTTCAGGATTCAAGAATTTGATATAAAGACGTTCGGTGCTGAGATGATTTGATTAATTCTCTGTAATATGTCATATATATAGAGCGTAGAAAGTAGCAAATTTTTAGTTCTTTCTCATTCCGATGATAACATAGTCATTGGACTAAAAATACAATGTCACTATGTAGTATGTACGCGATATTCTTCATCGAACGCAATAAAAAGACAAAAAATACAAAAGACTTAGCTGTGATTAGCACTTTTGCATTTTGCCGGCTGACAAAACATATGTAATTAATACATTTTGCCGGCTTACAGAACAAGGTTTCTGAACCAGCTCTCATTTGAAACAAAGCTTAGTCCTTTAGCTTCCTATAAAATGAGCAGTGAAGTAAACAAAGGCTAACTACAAAAACCTTCTTGTTCTTCTAATAACCAATTCCTATATTTGGAAACCAATTGAACTATTTACAATGGCCTCAACCTTTTCTAAACATATCATGTTCTTCCTTTTAGCTGCCTTTGCCACTTCTTGGTTAGTCCAAGCAAGCGATCCGGATATCTTATCAGACTTTATAGCACCACAAAACCAAACTTTTGACGGAACGTTTTTTACCTTCACTGGATTTCGCGGAATTTTTAACGTTCCTGATCCAGCCACCTTCAAGGTAACAAAAGCAAGTATGGCTGAATTTCCTGCTCTGAATGGCCAGAGTGTATCCTATGCTGTTCTGCAATATCCTGCAGGTGGTGTTAACCCACCTCACACGCACCCTCGAGCTGCTGAGCTTCTATTTGTTGTTCTTGGAAGCCTTGAGGTTGGATTTATTGACACCACCAACAAACTCTACACTCAAACTCTACAACTTGGTGACATTTTTGTGTTTCCTAAAGGATTAGTTCACTATCAGTACAATGCAGATCCTAAGAACCCTGCAATTGCTTTTTCTGCATTTGGCAGCGCAAATGCTGGAACTGTTTCGGTTCCTACCACTGTCTTTACTACTGGAATTGATGACCAAACACTTGCTCAGTCTTTCAAAACAGATGTTCCTACCATTCAGAAGATCAAGGCAGGCCTTGCACCCAAGGCGTAGATTGAAGCCTCATTATTGTTTCACCTTTTTCCCCCTCTCCATTAATAAAACAATAAGAAATTCAATGCTGTAATCATTACTTTCAATTTGATTTATACTTATTGAAACATTAATTTTGATTCTGCAAGTCTTTTATAATCTTTGACTAGAACATAATTTTGATGATCATTCTAAAAAATTTAGGTTCAATTTAGTGGACTGTTATAGAATTGGAATGTAATTTAAGTGTTCATCAAATCATTCATCTCTTTAACATTTTTTTTAGACTGAAATGCTAGCATGATCATGATTGACCTGGGAATATGAGTAGTTTGAGTCATCATGCACTCAAAAATGCTCATCTGTTAATGTATTTGAGAAATTGTTTTTAAAATGATGGAAAATGAGAACAGAAGACATGCATTAAGCAGTAAAGTAGTGCAAGATGTTGATTAAGCTTTCTAAAACAACAAATTTCATTCCAAAAAAAAATTTTGTTACTCCACAAGGAAAAAGAAAAAGAGAGAAAATGTCATTCATTTAGGTACAATGGCACCGCAAAGGAATCGATACACCTGCTGGTTTCCTCTTCTCCCTAACAATGGCTTCTGTAACCATAGGCAGTTTTTGATGGACCTTTTTCCATATGTGATTAACTGCACCATCTGGAGGAACTGGTCCAATACCGCCGGGATGGCCATTATCATACTCAAAAATTGGCTGAACCTCAGCCATTTTTTTACGAAACTCATCCTTCTGCCTTTCAGAAATGCTTTTAAGACGACTCACAAGCCAACTTGGTTTTAAGGCATCATCAATTGCCACAAAAACAGAAAATTCTGTGTAGTCCACCATCCCCTCAAATGGGAGTTCAATGTGGTCACTGACAACAACAGGTATACAGAGGCTTTGGATGGCATCAAAAAGTCGGCAAGAAGTAGGGGTATCCCCAGCTGGGTGCAAACAGAACTCTGAGGTCCTCATGCCTTTGATCGACTGCACTCTCCCAGTGGCATTGGGGAAGCCTTCTTCCATGACTACCCTGGGCTCATTAACCAACAAATCCCATAATTTTTCTCGAACCACACCTCCCTGTTGATAAAGAAAAATAAATAAAATTACCACATAATATGCAAAACCGAGCGCCGTTAACATGTTTCAATTGATTGAAATGAAAGTTATTTTCCTATAAAGTTTTCTCCAAGTTTAAAAGCAAGGCTCTTGTTGTTGTCACTTTGTAAATCAGTCACAATTAACTTCTAATTATACCAAATAAATAAATAAATAAACGAAGAGCATTATAAAAAGAGGCCTAGTAGCCAAAAAATAAGGCACACGAATAAACCTTCTCTCAAAATTGCAAGTATACTCAAACCTTCCAAAATATGATTTCACACCGAACCTTTAAATATTGCAAATTTTCCTGTTTGATCATACACTTGAATGAAATATAACCTATTATACCAATCATTTTCTCCAATCAGTCATCTCCATACACAATTCTAGTATAACTCTTCATCAATCTCTCAGTTGCAAAAGATGATGGTGCAATTTTAATCAAGTGGGGACAACTGAAATTTTTTTTTTGGTCATTAGCCCACAGGAAAAGAATTAATCATTTCAAATGTTATATTAACAGGCATGTTTTTCAAACAGAAGCTTGGGTAATAGCAGCTATAATTCAAATGGCAGCAGCAGTTAAGTTAGAAAACATAACTTTAACAGTATACTTTTGGAATAATCTACTTCTCAAAATAAGGGAGATTGCCCTCCATGAAAAAGGGTGAGAAGGGCCGATTTGAAAGGGACTTTATTTATCACTTTCCCTTTTTTTGCGGGTGGTAGTGCTCTTGAGAACATGACAGATGGGATCAATTTGGTAAATAAGAAAGCAACACGAGAAAAAAAAAAACAAAATTCGATTTGCAATCAGTATGGTGCAAGTTGCAAGATACAAGGACCTGAAATTATCCACTGTAAATACAACAAAAAATAAAAGGAGAAAAACACAGCTTATCAAAAATAGATTTGAAGAAAGAAAATTATGATGCTTGAACAAAAACAAAACCTTGCTGCTATCATCTAAAGGACACTGGAAATAGATACTGACCCGGTGCCTATGTTTGGCTCCTTTGAAATAAAGAAGGGTGTGGCGTTTCTTGTTCTCTGACAAGTTTAATCTAGGAAGCAAATGTGTGTATGGAACAATTACATCTTTCAGCAACGAAACTTGAGTATGTTGTATCATATCTGATGAGCTACCATTGGATGATTTAGAGTCAAGCCTAAACCATCCACCAAAATCCACCACCAGGAGGATAGCTGGCGCTATCTCAGCTCTTACATGCCACATTGCAACTGGGTCTGCCAAAGAATGCTTCAAGTTTTAATATAACCTGACAATTCAGAGACTAAATCATAAGATACTAAACTATTCAGAAAGATTCACCGTCTTGCTTCATTAGTAGGTGAAACAAAAGCAGCATTATATTTAACCATTTGTAATCAAATTCATACAGGGTTGACATGTATTTAGGCACGTTATATAACGTAAATATAGAGATATTTTGTGTAGCAAAAGATTCAATATTTTCAGGATAATCTTCATTGCACAAAACTCACTATGAAATACAATTATAATACAACATAATGTAAGTAATCCCTTTAGTAGCTTGCACTGAAAAAAGAAAAATTATTCAAAGCTCAATATTAAATTCAGATATGACATCACATACAAAAATAGGACTATATTAGATTAATATGTTTCAAAGCATTGAAAAAAAATACCTACAATCACCCACAAATGTTCGAAGATATAAAAGAATTAGCAAAAAAAAAAAAAAAAAAGAAGCTAAAAATCAAATCAAAGGCAGAAGATAATCCAGCAAATGGAAAGCTCATTTCTATTAAAAGCAGTACCTGTTAGAACAAAAACATGATCTCTTCCACCGGATCGTTTCCAGGCCTCAGAATTCTTCACAAACTCAACAACTTCCTTTTGCCTTTTGTAATCTTCATTCCCTTCTTTCTTCCTAAACGTACCTTTCCCTCTTCCGAGCTCCATTTCCGCACTCAATGTAGCAAAAAATGGTACGAAAATTACATCGGCTTGATTAATATCAGATACCCTTTTAGCAAAAGATTGAGACTTCAAATTCTCCGGTGTCATCAAGTCTCCGGTGATCCAGTATTCCGCACTGTACTGTTTGATCAACGGATTCTCAGCATATGGAGGGTGTTTAGAATTTTTGTGATTGTTGTTTATGGTGCCAATCTGGGTATGATCTGGGTCGTAGCTAGTACGGGAATCGGGTTCGGATAATGACCAGTACTGGTCTAGAAGGCCATAGTTGAAGGATCTAGGTAGGTCTGCTAAGTAGACTTTGAGGGAATTTTGAGGATTTTGAAAGGTATTTTGAGGATTTGGAAAAGATGTGCTTGAATTGTAGAGTAACAAGAAGAGAGAGAGGGAGAGAAGAGAAGCGAAAATGAAGCAGAGAAAGAGAAAAGGGATTGAGCACTGAAAGGTGGTTGTTCTAGTCGCAGCGGCGGCTGTGTTCTTTGGAGGCATTTCTTGCGCTTTGGGTGTTGCTACTCCGATCTTTTTCACCAGTTTTGAAGCGATTTATAAATTGTTACTGATAAAAAATAAAAATCCATTAACGATCATATGTAACTTTTTCATTGTTAAAATAAAATTAATATACCAAGTATTTTAAATAAGAATTATCCTACAATATCTCAAAAATAATAATCCTAATCAATAAATTTTATAAATATGTATCCCTACAAAAAATTATAAACATGCTTTAATAAATAATAACATAGAGTTATAAAAATATTTTGAGAATAAATCATTCCTAATATACGATTAACTATGATAACAAAACAGATGATGTGCAAATTTTAATGATTTTGATAATTCATTATTAGTTTTTCACAATTTTTTGTTTTGTTTTGTTTTTTTTGTGTAAGAAAGTCATATAAATATTGGTTGGTAAAAGAAATTATGATAACGAAAGATTCACAAATAAATAAAAGTCTTTCACAAGTTTGAGAGTCAATTATATCTTATTAAAGGCCTTGTTCGGCAATTTACGCGGTTATAATAGATGTTAGCTGTTGTAATAGCTGTTAGCTATTTTACTAGCAGTTAGGGTTAGAAATTAGTTGTTAGTGGTCAGATATTTATAAACAGTTCAAAATAAAAGCGTTCGGTACAATAAGTGTTTGAGTAGTTGTTTAATATAAAAAGACAAAAAAAAGATAAGATAAGGTCACAGAGAATGAAACAAAGACAAGTGATGGACATAGACTTGATAAAAAATTTATAAAACACTAAACATTAATGAAGATAACGTTTTATGAAACATTGCCTCAAACTCTAAATGTTAGGATAAATGTGACATTACCGAATACAATAATTAATCAAAACACTAAACACTATTCCAAACGTTCTTGTTGAACAGAACCAAAAGCAAAAAATTTCTGGTGCAAATCGCATAAACTTATCCTAATAATAAAGATTACTAAACTAGTACTAAAATGCTTCACACCTATCACACACATAAAGATCACATTATCACAAGACTAGTTACCTAGGAAAGAATAATACTAGGTTTGATTATCTCACACTACCATTCATAGGAAAGAATAGACCTTCAGAATTCTTCGTGATGTACTCAGAGATTAACCATGGACTTCACAACAGTGCATACATTAGAATAGCATAAAAATAATAATAATAAGAGCAATGTTGAATGGCACAACATGTGTCAGACTCAAGAAGAATCTTCGGTTGTGCATTATAGTTGCATTCCATTGCATTTGGTGGGTATGTGAGGAAATAAATGGGTGAATAGATATAGTTTTATTTGCAATCATTGTCTTTATTGAAAAAAGGCGAGTCTTTTTACAATTACAATGATTGAAGTCTTGCATGCAATTATAATGATTGAAGTCTCGCGTACTATATACTTGGCAATTGTAGAATGTAAAAAGATGGCAAAAAGGTGAAATCCGCGTCTACATATTAAACAACAAATTCACATACCACCTGGACCTCTGGTTCTCATCCAAGCATATTGTGTTTCGAAATAATAATATATAATACCTGCTTTTCATGTAAGAGAGGAGAGATGAAGTTGGTTTTTTTTAAACAAATTTATATGAATGTGATGTTATGACTAGGGATATATATATGATCTATATAATAGAGAGAATAGGAAAAATATGATTGTCTTTACAATTACAATGATTGAAGTCTTACATGATACTTGGCAAGTGTAGAATGTAAAAAGAGGGTAAAAAGATGAAATCCGTCTCTACATATTAAGCAGCACGCTCACATACCATATGGACCTCTGATCCTCATCCAATCATATTGTGTTTCAAAATAATGATATCTAATACATGTTTTTCATGGAAGAGAGGTGAGATGAAATTGATTTTTTTAAAAAAAATTTATATGAATATGATGTCATGACTATATATATTTTTTTCATGGAAGAGAGGTGAGAATGAAATTGAGATTTTTTAACAAAAATTTATATGACAGTATGATGTCAATGACTATATATATTATATATATATATATATATATATAGTATAATACTATATATATATATATATATATATGTATAATATATATATATAAAATCCATATACACACTACGAATAAGGAAAAAGAATAATTTGGGGATTGGGGCAGAAGCAAAAAAAACATGGTTAATTTTTAGTAAGTTACAAAAATGTTTGGCGTTAATGAAATATATTAAAAATCGCTTACAAAGTAGATTGCTTATATTATATTTTAATAAATATTAAAATTAAATATTTTCAGTAAGTTATGAACTTTTAAATATTTTCTATAATACGTGAACTAATATGTTGATTAGCTTCCCAATATTAATATATAAAATCCATATAACACTACGAATAGGAAAAAGAATATTGGGATTGGCAAAGCAAAAAAACATGGTTAATTTTTAGTAATTACAAAATGTTGGCTAATGAATATATTAAAAATCGCTACAAAGTAAGATTGCTTATATTTATTTTATAAATTAAAATTAATATTTTCAGTAAGTTATGAATTTTAATATTTTATAATACGGAACTAATATTTTTAGCTTTCTAATATTAATTAGTAAAAGTAATCTTATTTTTTAATGAATTAATCAACACAGCGAAATTGAATATTTCAATACATCATATTTTTCGCAGTGTTACAACTCATGTCTTATATCATCATTTCACAGTAGTTTATACCTTAATCATCCTCACCCTATTAGTACTCATTGTAGAAAAGGTCATTTGTTATGAATATTATAATTATGTGGATATCCGTTTAGGTATCTTCTCCATAAATTATGTCTTTTAGAATGAATAGTTATGTCCTTTGGAATGTAAGGTTATATCCTTTAAGATGAATGATTATATCCTTTGACATATAAGGTTATGTCATTTGGAATATATGATTATTACTTTTGGGATGTATCTTGTACCTACAAATAGAGGTACCTTCCCTCTATGTTGATATACACTTTTCTAATGAATAAGAATTACTCTCTATATTCTTTATATTTTCTCTATTTTTTTATATTTTATAACACCTTATCAGCATGAAATTTTAACCAAATAATAAGAATTTGTTCTACTACTTTAATTATGTGGTATTGCTTTCTTGATCAACTTTTATAGTGCTTTCTTGTTGAAATCGATTAAAGAGAGGATAACTTATGGTTTGTGGCAACCAAAGTTAAAAGCTATATATCTAAAGCTACTCATGCTTAAAACGTAATTTTATATATAATTTTATCATCTATATATTTTATATATGAATTATAAATATAAATTCAATCTTGCATTTTATATTTGATTGGTTATTATACATAATATAATTCTAAAATTAAATTAGTATGCTATTATTATTTTATCATATCAAATCTTATAGGATTTGGATTAGTGACTTTTAATATATTAATTATGAATTATTTTTCTTTATATATGGATATTATGTGTCCTAAAGACACAATAAGGAAGAAAATAAAAAAAATTAAATCATAATTCATATAATAAGATTTGCTTTCATTCTCTGCATTGAATGACATGGTAAATGAATAAACAAAAATAATGACATATTTTATAATTGTGATATAGAAGATGTCATGAAATGAAACCCACTCAATTAAATTTTTCATTCCCTGAAGTGAATGCAATCACATATATTATTGGGTGCGAGTGTGAATAATGATAATAATATTTTTGTGATCGAGAATGTTTATAAGATGATTATTGAATTACTAATCATTGTAATTGTGGTAAGCACAAATAATCAAAAGAAACTTACCACTAGAAATGGCAAAAGATAATATGACTTGTTGATTATGTACTTGTTGTATACAAAAATATATGAAAGCAAATTTTGGCTTTGATACTAAAAGAATTATTAAAAGCTCTTGAAGAGAAAATATTATTATTTAGAGAAATGATTTTCGTGCATTATATTATTATCTCTTTAATCTTGTAGAAATTTATTTTAGGGATATTCATAGAAATGAATATCATATAGAGATAATTGTAATGGATATAGTTGTAAACTAGAAGTTTATAAATTCAAATCTTTGTGTTGTTTGGCAATGATCAGCCGGGTTATCTCGGGTCAATATTGATGGGAAAAAAATAACTAAATTTTTATATGAATATTTATTAAAGAACCAGAAGTTTCTTTAGATCTGATGAATTTTAATGGTGTGTTCTTAAAGCAATTTTTACGAAAATAAAGCTCCCTATTTATGTATAGGGATAATGCTATTATATATAGTGGTAATTATTCACATCAAGCCAACAAGTTATTATAAATTATTTCTCTTTTGACTATAAATCCCAACATTAGGGGAGAGAATAAGTAGCTGAAAGTGCTTATTAGTGAAAATAATTATTATTATCAAATTTTGATCTCCTCACAAGATTGTGTGAACTAGAAGTACTAAATATAGTTATTTTGCACTCTATTGTAAATCAATTACTAGATCCTATTAGAATTTAAGTCCTTGAATGATAAACTGTCTATGTCTAAATTTATTGTATGCCTGAAGCGTGGTAAATTGATCAGTTCCAAGGACAAGAATCACTGAAAATGAAAAGGAGCAAATATGTTATATGTGCAGATTCTAGAAATAAAAACTCTAGAAGAGTAAACTCCAGAAGAAACTTTAGACATGATTGATAAATTTCCAGAAGAAACTCAAGTACCTGAAATGAATGAATTCAATGAAAATAATGAGATCTTAATAAGTCATGTCAAGTCAAGGAAAAAAAATGAAATCAATATAAAATAAACATCAACTGCATTTTTACATTTGTTATAGCATTTGATATGGTGATAAATGATGAGGATCTTGAATATAAGTCTATTAAATATAGACATAAAATGATTGGCCCAAATGGAGTGACATAATTGAGATATAATTTATTTGATAAAGTTATTGTATTTGTAATCCAAACAGTAGAAGATACAAGCTAGTGAAATACAATTAGATATTTATGCAAAAGTGAAATGGAAAGAAGATGGGTTTGAGATATAAAGTGAACTTGTTGCATAAAATTTTCACTAAGCAC